CCAAATTCTATTATGTTTATTAAGGGGGGCCCACTTGCCATCCAACAATCTCGTCAGTAGGGCTAGTCCGCCACTAGGGCTTATTTCCTCCCGTTGTTTTCATTCACACCTTTATTTTTTTTTAAAGAGAAGGAGAAACTTTTCTGTGAATTGAATTAAGCCTGCAATATCGTAAATTCGACACCGGCTTAGAACTGCGATGCATGTTACATCGATTTTGAGGCCCCCTAAGAGACTCGAAGCACGAGGCGGCCGCCTCTAACGCCTGTGCGGAAAACCACCACTGGACAAACGTAATTAATGTCGTTTCACCGAGCAGTCGTGGCCGAGTGGTTAAGGCTATGGACTCGAAATACATTGGGGTTTCCCTGCGTAGGTTCGAATCCTACCGGCTGCGTTCTCTCTATTTTCTCATATACACAGAGGATATATTTTAATTGTAAAAGATATGTCCCCGTTGATCAGAAAGGAAATTAATGCTCTTTCATCAAGCAGTCGTGGCCGAGTGGTTAAGGCGATGGACTCGAAATCCAATGGGGTTTTTACGCGTAGGTTCGAATCCTACCGGCTACGTTCTCTCTATCTTCTCACATACACAGAGGAGATATTTTAATTGTAAAAAAAGAAATGTCCCCGTTTATCACTAAGGTAATTAATGCTGTTTTACCAAGGAGTCGTTGCCGAGTGGTTAAGGCGATGTATTCGAAATCCATTGGGGTTTCCCCGCGTAGGTTCGAATCCTACCGGCTGCGCTCTCTTTATTTTCTCATATACACAGAGGATTCATTGTGCTTCCGTTCGGGTTACGTATTACTATCCTCTTTAATGTATAGCGAAAATATAAGAGAACGCAGCCAGTGGGATTCGAACCTACGCAGGAAACCCCACTGGTTCAGGTCCATCAACCACTCGGCCACGACTGCTCGGTAAAACAGCATTAGTGCCTTGATGATAAGCGGGACAGTTCTTTACAATTTAAAATATATCCTCTGTGTATGTGAAAATTGAGAGTGCACTTGACCGGTAGGATTCAGAACCTGCAGGGGAAACTGTGGATTTCGAGTCCATCGCCTTAACCACTCAGCCACGACTGCTCAGTGAAAACAGCGTGGGCCTGTAGTGATAAAGGACAGTTCTTTGCAATTAAAAAATACTATCCTCTGTGTATATGAGAAAATGAAGGCGCAGCCGGTGATTCGAACCTACGCGGGAAATCTAGTTCCAAGATCATCACCTTAACCACTCTGACCGGCCTACTTGATGAAATAGCATTAATTGCCACTTTCAGTCAACAGGACATATCTTTTACAATAAAATATATCCTCTGTGTATGTGAAAATAGAGAGAACGCAGCCGGTAAGTTCGAACCCTGCATAGTGGAAACCCACTGGATTTCAGATTGCATCTGTAACCACTCGGCCACGACTTCCTCAGTAAAACAGCATTACCTTAGTGATAAGCAGGGACAGTTCTTTTTTACAGATCAAATATATCCTCTGTGTATGTAGAGAAAATTGAAATTACGCGGCCAGTGGATTCAGTCTCCTTGAAGCCCCAATGGATTTCGAGTCCATCGCCTTAACCACTCGGCCACGACTGCTCTGTAAAACAGCATTAATTACCTTAGTGATAAAGGGGACAGGTTCTTTTAATTAAAATATATCTCTGTGTCTCATGTAGAAAGAAAATAGAGAACGCAGCCGGTAGGATTCCAGACCTACGCGGGGAAGCCCCAATGGATTTTCAGTCCATCCCGCCTTAACCTCGGCCACGACTGCTCGGCAGAACGGCATTAATTACCTTAGTGATAAGCGAGGAGGACAGTTCTTTTTTACAATTAAAATACTCCTCTGTGTATGAAAGATAGAGAGAACCATGTTGGTAGGATTCGAACCTGCACGGGAAGCCCCAATGGATTTCAGGGTCATCGCCTTGACCACTCGGCCGACTGCTCGATAAGAGCACCATTAATTGCAATTGTTCAGCAGGGGACAGTTCTTCTACAATTAAATATATCTCTTTGTATGTAGAAAAGTTGAAGAACGCAGCCATTTGATTCGAACCTGCAGGAAGCCCCAGTAGTTTCAGGTCCATCATATACTCCGGCCCACGACTGCCAGTGGCTCGCATTAGTGCCTTTTCTGATCAACGGGGACATATCTTTTTACAATTAAAATCTCATCCTCTTTGTATATACAGAAAATAGAAGGCTGTCATTGAGTTCGAACCTAGGAAACCCCATTAGTTCGAGTCATCGCCTTAACCACTCAGCACGACTGTATAAACGAAACAGCAATAATTACCTTATTGATAAACAGGGACAGTTCTTTTTTACAATTAAAATATATCCTCTGTGTATACTTGAGAAAATGAGAGCAGCCAGTACATTCAGACCTACATGAGAAACCCCAATGGATTTCGAGTCATCGCCTTAACCACTCGGCCACGACCTCGGAAAAATAACATAAATTACCTTGTAAGTGATAAACGGGACAGTTCTTTTTTATTAATTCAAAACCTGTCCCTCTGTGTATGCCAGAGAAAATAGAGAGTACGCAATGGTAGGATTCGAACCTACATGAGAAACCCCAATGGATTTGAGTCCATCTTGTAACCCTCGTACGACTTCTCAGTAAAACAGCATTAGTACCTTAGTGATAAAAGGACAGTTCTTTTACAATTAAAATATATCCTCTGTTATACAATGTGAAATGAAGACGTGATAGGTTAGAACCTGGAAACCCCAATGGTTCAGGTCCATCGCCTTAGCTCCCTCGACTACGACTATAGGTAAAGACACGCATTATTTACCTTAAGTGATAAACAGGGACAGTTCTTTAACAATTAAAATATTTCACTCTGTGTATATGAGAAAATAGAGAACGCAGCCGGTAAGTTCGAACCTACATGAAACGCAATGGATTTCAGAGTGCATCGCCTTAACCACTCGGCCACGACTGTGCTCAGTAAAACAACAATAAATTACCTTAGTGATAAACAGGGGACATTTCTTTTACTACAATTAAAATATATCCTCTGCTTTAGTATGAGAAAATAGAGAACGCGGCCGGGGCAAGTTCAAGACCCTGGCCAGGGAAACCCCAATGGATTTCAGTCCATCACCTTAACCACTCGACCATTAACAAGTGAGAACAGCATTAATTACCCTTAGTGATAAACAGGGACAGTTTTCTTTTACAATTAAAATATGTCCTCTGTGTATGTAAGAGAAAATAGAGAGGAAGGCCAGTAGGATTCTAGAACCTGCATGAGGGAGAGCCCCAATGGATTTCAGTCTGTCGCCTTAACCACTCAGCCACGACTGCTCAATTTAGAACAGCATTAATTACCTTGGTAAGCAGGGACAGTTCTTTTACAATTAAAATATATCCACTCTGTGTATATGAGGAAAATAGAGAGAACGCAGCCGGTAGGATTCAGACATGCGAGAAGCCCCAATAGTTTCCGGTCATCACTTGTAACCACTCATTACGACTGCATCTGATGAGACCGCATTATTTACTTATATGATAAAGCAGGGACAGTTCTTTTACAGATTAAAATATTTCCTCTGTGTATGAGAGAAAATGAAGGAACATGACCGGTAGGATTCCAGACCTGCATGAGGAAACCCCAGTAGTTTCAGTCCATCGTCTTAACCAGCCGACGCTCAGCAAAACAGCAATAATTACCTTAGTGATAAGCAGGAGACAGTTCTTTTTACAATTAAAATATATCCTCTGTGTATATGTGAAAATAGAAACGCAGCCGGTAGGATTCAGACACGCGGGAATCCCCAATGGATTTCAAAGTCATCGCCTTAACCACTCAGCCCGACTATGGTAAAACAGCAATAGTACCTTGATGATAAGCAGGGACAGTTCTTTTTTACAATTAAATGTATCCTCTGTGTATATGAGAAAATACTAGAGAACGCAGCCGGTAGGATTCAGACCTGGGGAAGCCCAATGGATTTCAGGAGTCCATCGCTTAACCCTCGGCCTTGACTGCTCAGTAAAGAAACAGCAATAATTACATGAAGTGATAAACGGGACAGTTCTTTTACAATTAAAATATATCCTCTGATATACTGAAAATAGAGAACGCAGGCCGAAATTTGATTCCAGACTCACATGAAACCCCAATGGATTTCGAGACCAGCAGCTTAACCACTCGGCCACGACTGTACGGTAAAACAAGCAATAATTACCTTAGTGATAAACGAGGACAGTTCAACACCGATTAAATATATCCTCTGTTATGTAAGAAAATAGAGAGCGCAGCCGGTAAGTTCAGAACCCTGTGGGAAGCCCCAATGAATTTCAGGTCCTCCTTGCCCAACCACTCAGCCGACTTTGCTCCGTAAAACCAGCAATAATTACCTTAGCGTGATAAAGCAGGACAGTTCTTTTACAATTAAATATATCCTCTGTATGAGAAAATAGAAAAGAACGCAGCCGGCAGATTCGAACCTGGTAGAGCCCCAGTGGATTTCGACCCATCATATAACCACTCGACCACGACTGCTCGGTAGAACAGTATTAATTACCTTAGTGATAAACAAGGGACAGTTCTTTAATTAAAATATATCCTCTGTGTATGTAAGGAAAATAGAGAGAACTACTTGGCCGGTAAGTTCAGACTACATAGAGGAAACCCAATGGATTTCGATTCCAACGCCTTACCACTCAGCCGACTTTGCTCAGTACGAACAACGTAATTACCTTAGTGACAGCGGGGACAGTTCTTTTTTACAATTAAAATATATCACTCTATTGTATGTAAGAAAATAGAGAACGCAGGCGGTAGGGTTCGAACCTACGCGGAAACCCCAATGGATTTGAGGTCCATCGCCTTAACCACTCAGCCACGACTGCTCAGAAAAGCACCATTAATTACCTTAGTGATAACGGCAGGGACAGTTCTTTTACAGTAAAAATATATCCCTCTGTGTGGCGGCATACGAGAAAATAGAAGAGGTACGGCCAGGGTAGAACTCAGAACCTACAGAAACCCCAATGGATTTCGAGTCCATCCCTTGTGACCACTCGGCCACGACTGCTCGATTAAACTAAGTAATTACCTTAAGTGGTTCAGCGATGAGCAGTTCTTTTCAATTAAAAGTGTATCCTCTTTGTATATGAGAAAAAATTGAGAAGACATGACCGGTACATTCTAACCTGCGGAAACTATTGGATTTCGAGTCCATCGCCTTAACCACTCTAAATACGGCTGCTCCGGAAAACAACATAAATTACCTTAGTGATAACAGGGATAGTTCTTTTACAATTAAAATATATCACTGTATATCAGAAAAAAGAGGAGGCACTGACCGGTAGGATTCGAACATACATGAAACCCCAATGATTTCAGGAGTCCATCCTTAACCACTCATTACATTTTATCAGTAGAACCACATTATTTACCTTAGTGTTCCAGCGAGGGACACTTCTTTTACAATTAAAATGTTTCCTCTGTGTATGTAGAGAAAATAGAGAACGTAGCCGGTAGGACTCGAAGACCTACGCGGTGAAACAATGGATTTCGAGTCCATCAGCTTAACTTTCCTCAGCCACGACTGCTCGGTAAAGCAGCAATAGTACCTTAGTGATAAGCAGGGACAGTTCTTTTACCGTTAAAATATATCCTCTGTGCATAGAGGAAAATGAGAGAACGACACAGCCGGTAATCAGCCTGGGGAAACCCCAATTGTTTCTGAGGTCCATCAGCCTTCAACCACTCGCCAGACTGCTGGTAAACAAGTCTATTAATTACCTTAGTGATAAAACGGGGAGCCAGCTCTTTTACAGTAAAAACATCCTGTATGAGGAGAAAATAGGAGATACGCAGCTGCAGAATGTTGAACCACACTGCGGGAGAAACCAATGATTCGGAGTCCATCTTGAGCTCCACTCGGCCAGACTGCTCGGGTGAGAACCCATTATGCTTGATAAAAGGGACGTTCTTTTAAAATTAAAATATATCCTCCTGTGTATTGTGAAAATAGAAGCGTGGGTAGGATTCAGACCTACTTGCAGGAATCACTGATGGATTTTGAGTCCATTGCCTTAACTACCTGAGCCACGACGTCATCGAAAAAATACACTACGTGAATATAGCAGCAGGGACAGTTCTTTGTACAATTAAAATATATCCTCTATTGTATGAGAAAATAGAGAGAACGCAGCCGGTCATTTGTCAACCTGCAAGTGAGGGAAACCCAATGTCTTCAACCAGCTTGGCCACTGGCCACGACCAAATGGTAAAACAAATAAATTACCTTAGTAAACGCAGGACAGTTCTTTTACAACAAATATATCCCTCTGGTGCTATGGAAAGAGATCGCAGCCGGTAGATTCTGAACCACGCTGAGGAAACCCTCAATGAGATTTCGATCCATCCCAACACTCTGGCCAGCGACTGCTCGTGAAAACTAGTAATCTAATGCCTTTCTGATACAGAGGGATGCTTCTTACAATTAAATATATCCCTCTGCTATATAGAAAATGAAGCAACAGCTGGTGAAGTTCGACGACCACCGGAAAACCAATATGATTCTAGCCCTCCCTATAACCACTCGACCACGACCGTCTAGAACAGATTAATTAATTTAGCTATAAACGGGAGGCGTCTTTTCAATAAAAATATATCTCTGTGTCATGAAAAAGTAGAAGAAGTGAGCGACGTTCGAACCTACCGCTAAACCCTGGATTTGATTCCAAAACGCCTTAACCACCTCGGCCAGACCTGCTCGAGAGACAGCATTAATTACTTGAGTGATAAAGCAGGGACAGCTCTTTACAATTAAAATATATCCTCTGTGTATGAGAAAAAATAGAGAACGTACTTAGCCGGAGAGATCCTCGAAGAACACGCGGGAAACCCCTAAATGGATTCTGGCAGTCCATTCGCTTAATCCACTCAGCATCATCGACCTGCCTGATAAGACACGCACTTAACCTAGTGTAAATCGAGGACAAGTTCTTTTTACCAATAAATGATATCTCATGATATGAGAGAAATTGAGAGAACGCAGCCAAGTAGGATCTAAACCTCACGAACTCCTACATGATTTGAGTCCATCGCCATACCACCTCGGGCCACGCACTTGCTGAAAAACAACCATTAATTTAGCCTTAGTGTAAACGGGAGCAGTGTTCTTTTCAGATTAGAATTATCCTCTTGTATATCATGAAGGAAAATGAGAGAACGCGCCGGTAGCGATTCTGAACAGCTACCGTTGAAACCCTCCAATGGATTTCAAAGTCCATCGCCTTAACTCCTGGCCACGGCTGCTCGAAACGACATTATTTACCCTAAGTGATAAACGAGGGAACATTCTTTACAATTAAATATTCTCTGAGATATAGAAATAGAGAACGTATGGCCGGTGATCTGACCCTCATGCGGTGAAACACCAAATGGATTTTCAGTCCATCGGATATATACTCGATGCAACGACCCTGCTCGGTAAAACAGCAACCACTCAATGGTAAACGTTAGACAGCTGTGCATACACAGAGGACAGTTCCTGTGTTTTACAATTAAATATCTTGAGAAGAAAAATTAGAGACGCAGCCGAGATCTTTGATCAAGGACGCGGCAAAACCCCAATGGTTGAGTCCATCGCCCTTGAACCACTCGCCACGACGCTCGGAATAAAAGAATTACCTTAGTGAGCAAACAGGACAGTCTCTTTACAATCAAAATAGTATCCTCTGTGCCGTAGCCAGGAAAGAGAACGCAGCGGTAGGATTCAACATCGCGGGGAAACCCCACATGGATTTCAGGTCCATCCTTAACCACTCAGCCAGCTGAACTGCCCATAGAACCGCACATTTGCTACTTAGGATAGAGGGACACTTCTTTACAAGTTAAAATAGTCCTCTGTGTATATGAGAAAATGAACGCAGCCGGTGCGATCGGAACCCTCGCTTGGAAACCCAGTGGTTCAGAGTCCATCATTGTAAACTACACTCCCAAGCACACGACTCTCGGTGCCAGCATATAATTCACCTTAGTGGAATAACGAGTGACGCTTTGCTACCAAATAAATGTATCCTCCTGTGAATAGAGAAATACAGAGAGAACGCAAGCCGTAGATTCGAAGACCGCGGGAAACCAATGGATTTCGTATAAGATTCCACTCGAGTCCACGCTGCCCAGTAACCAGGCGACCAGCTCGGATTAATGCTACCTAGAAAAGATAAAGCAGGGACTTCTTTGCATAAACTATATCCCTCCGTCATACGAGAAAGAAGACACCGGGTAAGTAGAGTTCGAAGACCACAGGGGAAACCTCCAGTATTCGAACGTCATCGCCTACCACTTCGACCACGCCTAGAGAACAGCATTGCCTTCGTGATAACAGGGATAGTTCTTGGTACAATTAAAATATATCCTGTGTATATGAGGAAAAGAAAGAAATCGCAGCCGCAGTGATTGAACTGCGAGGGAAACCGCCGGATTTTCCGGAGAGCTCCATCATATCTCACTTCTGACCTACGACTGCTCGGTTAGAACACGCATAATTACTTAGCATGAGAAGGGACAGTTCTTTACCAATTAAAATATATTCCTCTGTGTATATAGAAAAAGAGAGACGCAGCCAGGTAGATCGAACTCACGCATGGAAACCCAATGATTTATTCAGGCCCTAATACCACTCGGCCACGACTGCTGATAAGAACAGCCATTAATTACCTCTAGTGTCCTGGGGACAGTTCTTTACAATTAAATATTCCTCTTTGTAATGAGGAAATAAAGTGAGAGAAGACAGCGGTGAGGATCTCAAACCTACTGGGGAAAACCCACATGGATTTGCATGCCCATCACTGAGCCACGACCTGCCTCGGAGAAAATCACAGCCTTGAGTAAACGCGGGACAGTTCTTTTACAACGACAAAATATATCCTCTGTATATGAAGAAAAGAGAGAACGATGCCGCAGAAACTTCGAACCTGCTAGGAAACCCATGGACCGAGATCCATCGCCTAACCACTGGCCGACCTGCAATTATGATATAATTGGTCCTTCCCAGTCAAACAGGGGACAGTTCCTTTACAAATTACAAATATATCCATCTGTTATGAGGAAAAAGAGAAGAACGCAGCGCAGGTAGATCTCGAACCTACTGGGGCATAAAACCCGATGGATTTCGACACCACGCTTTGGAACCACTCACCCGACTGATATATGACAGTATAATTGCCTTGATGATCAAGCAACATCTTTACAAAAAATATATCCTCGTGATGGCGAGAAATATAGAAGCGCAGCCGGTAGGATTCGAACTCTACGCGGAAACCCCAATGGATTTGATCACGCCGCAACGACTCGCCACGACCGTGCTCAGTAGAACAGCAGCAATCTAATTTCTGTAGTGATAAAGAGGGACAAGTTCTTTCATACCAATTAATATATCCTCGTGTATATGAAAATATAGAGAACGACAGGCGTAGGATTCGAAACCATGCGGGGAAACCCCACAATGGTTCGGTTGCCAACGCCTCTAACCACTTCGAGCCACGACCGCCTCAGACGTTATACCCTTAGCGATAAACGATCAGTCTTGGTACAATTAAAATATATCCTCGATGGCAAGTAAGAAAATAGAGAGACACTTGCCAGCAGTAGAACTGAACTGCCAAGGAAACCCATGGATAGTTCGAGTCCATGCCTATGACCACTGGGCCACGACTGCTCGATTAGCACATCCTTGCCTTAATTGTACGCATTGACAGTTCTTTACTTCAATAAGTAATCCCCCCTGTTGTATAAGAAGAATTGAGAGAACGTGCAGCTAATTACTCTAACCTGTCATTGGGAAACCCCAATGGATTTCTTGAGTCCATCGCCTTAACCACTCGGCCACGATGCCTCAGGATACAAATTACCTTAGTGCATCAACGGGACGAGTTCTTTTACAAAAAATATATCCCCTTGTGTATAAGAAAATGAGAGACGACTAGCTCGGTGTATCAGACTTACACGAGGAAATCCCTGTGCTTCGGTCCATCGCCTTAGACACTCGGCCACGACATGCTCGGATAAAACATAGTATAATTACTATAGCATATATGAGGGAGCAGCTCCTTTTACAATTAAATATATCCTCCGTTGTATACTGCCAAAAAAGAAGGAACGTATGGCTGGTAGGATCAACTCTCGCGGGAACTATGATAGTTTATTCATCACTGACCAACTGGCACGTCAATAAGCAATTATTAATTACCTTAGTGATCAAACAGTCTCTTTTATCAATAATATATCCCTCTTGCTAGTATGAGAAAAGAGAGAAACGCAGGCCTGGTATTGGACTGAACTCTACTGGGAAACCCATGACTTGCAGATCCATCGTAACCCACCGCCACGACTGCTGATAAAGTACTAAATTATTGCCTGAAGTATACAGTGGACATATCTTTTCCACAGATAATATATAATCACTCTGTGTTATAGAAGGAAAAGAAGAACGCAGCCGGTATGGATTCGAACTTACGCGCAAATCCACTAATAGGTCACCCATTAACCACTCGACAATGACCCACGGTTGAGAAAAGTACATAATTGCCTTCAATTACCGCAGGCGTTCTTGTGCAATAAATGATATCCTCTGCTGTAGTAGAGAAAGAAGCGGACTGAACGCATCGGTAGGTCCACCTACGGATGAGAGCCCACTGCATCGTCAACTAACGCACCGACGACTGCTCAGTGAGAACAGCATTAATTACCCTTAGTGATAAGCAGGGACAGTTCTTTTACAATTAAATATATCCCTGTAGTATGAGAGAAAATAGAGAACGCAGGCGGTAGATTCAACACTGCAGGAAACCCCAATGGATTTAGGTCCATGTCCTTAACTCGTGGACTCAATTGACCTTCTCGAGTAGAAAACGCATTAATTACTGTAGTGAAAATCGGGACAGTTCTTTGCACAAAAAATAATATCCTCCTGTATGAGAGAAAAAACGCAGCCATTTAGGGAACTCAACCTACACGGAAACCCGTGGAGTATTCTGAGAAAGATCCATCGCCTCTGACCACTGGCCACTGACCGGGTTCGCTATAACAATCATTAATTACCTTAGTGCTTCAAGCATTTGATCGGAAGTTCTTTTCAATTAAAATGTATCCCTCTTTGTATTAGAGGAAAATTGAGAGAACGCCAGGGTCGATTCTAACCTACGGGGAAACCCCAATGATTCTGAAGTCCATCTGCCTTAACCACTCACGGCACTGCTCGGAAAAACAACACTAGATTACCTTGGATAAAGGAGGACAGTTCTTTTGTAATAAAATATGTCCTCTGTATATCCAGAAAAAAGAGAGCCAGCCGGTAGGGATGAACATACGGAAACCATGTTCTAGTCCATCCCTAGAACCACTCGGCTCACACGTTCGAGTAGAACCCGCATTTTACCTTAGTGACATAAGCAGGGACACTTCTTTAATAAATTAGAAATATTTCCGTGTGTAAGTGGAGAAGAAATAGGGCAAGACATCGGTCGGTGGACCTGAACCTGCGGATGAAACACCAATGGATTTGAGTCCATCGGCAACCCACTGCCAGACATTGGACATAAAAGCAATACTTGCACCTGTGAGATAACGCGGAGGAATTTTACAATGTAAAATATATCCTGTGTATATGGAGAAAATGAGCAACGCAGCATTCGAACCAAGCGGGAAACCAAATGGATTTGAGTCCATCAATATAACCACCTCGACCACGTCTGCTCGATATGACAGCATTAATACCTAGTGAATAGGACAGGTTCTACAATTAAAATATATCCTCCTGTGTATGACTAGATAAAAAAGAGAGAACGCAGCCGTAGATTCACCTACGCGGAAACCCTCACTGATTTCTGAGTCCATCGCCATGTAACCACTCGGGCCAGACTGCTCATAGAAATGGCATTAAGTACCTTAGTGATAAAGCGGATCGTTCTCTACAATAAAATATACCTCTGTGTATATGGGTCATAGACGAGCACACTGTGTAGATTGAACATACGTTGAAACCTACAGTGTTAAACGCCTTAACATCCTCGGCCACGACGCTACTAGTAGAACTCGATCAATTTACCTTAGTGATAAACGGGAGTTCTTTTACAATTTACAATTTCCTCCTGTTATAACTAGAAAAAAGAGAACGAGCCGAGTTTTCAGACTGCACGCAGGAACTACCAATGGACTTTGAGTCCACTTCGCTACTGCCACTCACCGCTGCCGATGTACACACAATTCTAGTGTTACGAGGGACGGTTCTTTGTACAATTAAAATATACCTCTTTAGCTGGAAAATTGAGAAACGCAGCGGTACATGTCTAACCTGCAAACTAATTGCTTCGGTCAGTCCTGCTTAACCACCTGCAGCCACTGACTGCCTGCGGCATACAAAAATATAACCTGTAGTGATAAACGGGACAGTTCTTTCATAAATTAAAATATAGTCTCTGTGTATATTGAGAAAAGAGAAACGCAGCCGTATGATCTCGAACTCACGGAAATCCCTATGTTTCGAATTATCCTTAACCACTGCTCGACTGCTCTGAAGTGAAATATATCGTACCTCTTCTATCAACGCAGGGACATATCTTTACACATAAAATATGTCCTCCTGTGTATGAGAAAATGAAAACCAGCCGGTAGGATTCAAGAACCTACGCGTGGAAACTATCTCACCGTTCCTGTAATGCCACTCGATCTCACTGACCCTGCCTCGTAGGAAAGTAATTACCTTAGTGATAAAGGGGACAAATTCTTTACAATTAAAAATATATCCTCTGTGGTATATTGAGAAAAATAGAGAGAACGCAGCCGGTCGTTCGAACCTGAGGAAACACATGGATTTCGATTCCAACGTCTTAACCACTCGGCCACGACTGCTGCAGTGAAACAACATTACCAAGTAGATAAATCGGGAGTTGTTTCTTTTTACAAATTAAAAGTGTATATATGAGGAGAAAATAGAAGAACTGAGCGTAGATCGAACCATGCAAAACCCCAATGGATTTCAGTCACTCATTGAACCACTCGCATACGACTGCTCTGCAGTAGAACAGCATTAAAATTACCATTGATAAAGGCGGACAGTTCTTACAATTAAAATATAATCCTCTGTGTAGTTAAGGAAAATAGAGAACGCAGCCAGTAGAACTCGAATCCTGCACAGGAATTCCCCAATGGATTTCGAGTCCATCCCTTGGACCACTCGGCCATGCACTGCTGATTAAATCCCATTAATTACCTATGCGTGTTAAGATTGACGTCTCTTTTCAATTAAAATTGTCCTCTTTGTATATAGAAAATTGAGAGAACGCAGCCGGTACGATTCTAACCCACTGCGCAGAAACTGTGGATTTCGAGTCCATCGCCAAATCCGCTCAGCCGACGGCTGCTCGGAAAACAACACTAATACCTAGTGATAAACGGGGACAGTTCTTTATAATTAAATATATCCTGCCTCTGTATATCAGAAAAAAGAGAACGCGCATGCGAGGATCTGAAACATACGCGAGAAACCCTAAGGTAGTTTCGAGTCTTCATAGCCACTCGGCCACAGACTGTCGGTAAACCGCATTATTTACCTTTAGTGAATGAAACGGGACTTCTTTTACTACATAAATATTCTCCTGTGTAGAAAAATGAGAGAACGTAGCTCGTAGGACTCCAACCTACCATGGGGAAGCACCAATGGATTTCAGGTCCATCGGCAACCTCGGCCGACTGCTCAGTAAAACAGCAATAATTGCATAGTGATAAACGGACAGTTCTTTTTACAATTCAAATATATCCTCTGTGTATGTATGAGAAAATAGAGACGCAGCCGGTAGGATTCAGACCTAAGCGGGGAAGCCCAATGGATTTCAGGTCCATCGTATTAACTTTCCACTCGACCACGTCTGCTCATTAGGAACAGATTAATTACCTTAGTGATAAGAAACGGGGACAGTTCTTTACAATTAAAATGTAATCCTCTGTGTATGGGAAAATAGAAGGAGCGGTTGGCCGGTAGGATTCAGACCTGCAGGAAACCCCAAGTAGTTTCAGGTCAAACTCCGCGCCAACCACTCAACCCACGACTGCTCAGTAGAACAGCATTAATTACCTTAGTGAGGTAAGCGGGGACAGTTCTTTTTTGCAATTCAAAATATTTCCTCTGTGTGTATGAGGGAAAAGAATAGAGAGAGAACGCAGCCGGTAAAGTTCGAACCTACATGGGAAACCCCAGTAGTTTTCGAGTCCATCGCCTTGACCACTCACGTACGCGAACTTTATCGATAAAACACCATTAATTACCTTGAGTGTTCAGCAGGGACAGTTCTTTTTACAATTGGAAATATATCCTCTTTGTATGTAAGGAAAATTGGGAGAACGCAGCCAATTTTTGATTCGAACCTGCATGAGGAAACCCCAATGGATTTGAGCCCATCGCCTTAACCACTCGATACCGACTGCTCGGTAGACAGTATTAGTATATTGATAAACAGGGACAGTTCTTTTACAATTAAAATATATCACTCTGTGTATACTTAGGAAAATAGAGAACGCAGCCGGTAAGTTCGAACCTACGCAGAAGCCCAATGGATTTCGATTCCAACGCCTTAACCACTCGACACGACTGCTCAGTAGAACAGCATTATTATGAAAGTGATAAAACAGGGACAGTTATTTTACAATTAAAATATATCCTCTGTGTATGGGAAAATAGAGAGCACTTGAGCGGTAGGATTCGAACCTGCGGAAACTAATGGATTTCAGGTCCATCGCCTTAACCATCGGCCACGACTGCTCGGTAGAACAGCATTAATTACCTTTAGTAACGATAAGCAGGGGACAGTTCTTTACAATTAAAATATATCCTCTGTATATGAGAGAAAATAGAGAACGCAGCCGGTAGAACTCCGAACCTACACGGGAAACCCCAATGGATTTCGAGTCCATCGCCTTGACCACTCGGCCACATTTTGCTCGAGATTAAACACCAGCTAATTACCTTAGTATTCAACGATGACAGTTCTTTTTTCAATTAAAATGTATCCTCTTTGTAAGAGAAAATTGAAGGAAACGCAGCAGTACAATTCTAACCTACATAGAAGCCAAGTAGTTTCAGGTCCATCTTGTAACCACTCGGCCACGGCTGCTCGAAAACAACATCATTACCTTAATGATAAATGGGGACAGTTCTTTTTACAATAAAAATATATCCTCTGTATATCAGAAAAAAGAGAACGCAGCCGGAAGAAGTTCAGACCTACGGGAAATCCAATGGATTTCAAGGTCCATCATGTGACCACTCAGCACGACTGCTCGATAAAACACTAATGATGCAGCAAGGTGTTCAACGGGGACAGTTCTTTTACAATTCAAAATATAATATCTTTGTATGTGAGAAGGGTAGAGAGAACGCGGCGGTACGATTCAGACCTATGGCGAAACCCCAATGGATTTCAAGGTCCATCATATGTACTCGGCCGACTGCATCGGAAGAATAATATAAAATTACCTTAGTGATAAAGCAAGGACAGTTCTTTTAATTAAAATATATCCTCTGTGTATATAAGGAAAAAGAGAACGCAGCCGGTATGTAGTTCAGACCACCTGCGGGAAATCCTATAGTTCCAGATCCATCACCTTAACCACTCGGCCACGACTGCTTACAGTAAATATAATTAATTGCCTTTCTGATCAACGAGGGACATATCTTTTTACAATTAAAATATATCCTCTGGTAACATGAGGAAAATAGAAAGAGAACGCAGCCGGTAGGATTCAGACCTACGCGTGGAAACCCAATGGATTTCGAGCCCGCTCATAACCGCTCGACCACGACTGCTCGGTAGAACAGTATTAATTACCTTAGTGATAAACGGGGACAGTTCTTTTACAATTAAAATAATA